TTTCGCTGATCTTCTATGATTCTTCGTCTTCGACTTAAGAAAGCGTCCCTCCAGGTTTAAAACGTCCAGCGATGCGTCAGCGTGGGCATCTTTCTTCGCACTTACAGAGGATAGTTTGCCACGACGGGTCCGATTAGACGCCGTTTCAGCGCTTGGGTGCCCATCAAAGTCATGTTCAACCAATTCGTGCATTCCATGAGGATCAAACGTCTGAGGCAACGGCCGGCCAGGTGCAACCGGCGTGGGAAAGCCTTGCTTCATGCGCTGTCGTGAGAAAAACTCGCGCTGCTGCTTTTGTTAGTTCGTACCCGTTTGTTCGAATAGTAAGCAAGAAAGTTCACGCAGGCCTGCCTTTTGAAGATCACTATTCTTTTTGATGGAACTGCGAGATCCTGACATCCAGTTCATGGCGAAATTTACAGTATAACTGCTTGTCACTTCCGCTTGCGGTTCTCTTCTCCGTTGAATTAACAACAGCTTAAGTTTTTCCCACTGTCCTCGACCTTATGATTTTATCAATAGCTAAAATGTGTCCACCTTCCATATACGACTGTGCCACTCGAGTGGAACCTCGCTCGCGCAGGCGTGTTCCCCTGAAGCTTGACCGGCCGAAGACTAGGAACTGGTGGGGTGCGGACGGACAATGAAGGGATTGTTGATATTTGAAAGAGGTACGACGGGAGCAGGTCATCTATTGAAGAGGTATGTCGTTGTCAGGGAGGTTGTACCCGAATCTTTTCTTATCTTTCCAACTGTTCTCTCGCGTCTTAGTTCATCATGGCGACAACATTCACGGATAACGTCGTGATTCATTGGGACAATGTGGAAGCCGGTCTCACCGCTTTGCCTGGATCTCTTTGTGGGTTCTCGCATAGAAGTGACGATTTTCCGCAGGAGGCAGAGCTGGTAATTGATGCCAGCGAATTAACATTGAAGCTGTCATCTGGCAATGGTTGGTCAAGGTGGCCAAGTGCGGGCGCAGGCAATGGAGCCGGTACTGAACGTTGATATCTAGTTGTTACCATTCCGCTGTGCTTCGTGTTCGCCGCTCGTGCTACGCCGAGCAAGCCCAAAGTGGATCGTACTCATTCGTCGAGTGCCGCCGTCTTGTCCCGCGCCTGCGCGCTTCATTCGCCTACAGCAGGCAATAAGCATCTCCTTCCGGAATTTTCTTCTCAATTCTTTATGCTGTATGCCGTACACCTTTACAATGGACGGACTGATAAGCAGCCAAAAATTCGCCAAGTGCTCGTTGAGAGCCGACGGTGCGGAGCTAGCGCGTGCATCGACCATGTCCGTCAAGCAGCTAGAATTGCAGAGTTTGGTATGCATCGGATATTAAACTGGGGTCTTGTGGTTGCGTGTGGCTTATACTGACTCTCAATTGCAGACAACGGGAAACTCTTGATTCTAATCAATCCATTTGGTGGGACAAAAAAGGCGACACAAATCTTTCGCGACATTGTTCAACCTATGCTACGGCTCGCTGGCGTTGAAGCTGATGTGATAGGTGACTTTCTTGCAATTACACAGAGCTACCCTTGACTCTAATAGCTATCATTTTTCAGAAACGACACACGGTGAGCATGCGACGGATATTGCTCGCGGGCTGAACATTTCAGAGTATAAAGCTGCCATCACCATCAGCGGTGATGGCCTTTTTCATGAGCTCATCAATGGCCTGCTGACTCGGCCAGACTGGGAAACTGCTCGCAAGCTGCCAATCGGTGTTGTCGGAGCTGGTGAGGATGTTATTCAATTCAATTTGCCGACCAGGTCTAATTTAATACGGAATAGGATCTGCGAACGCCATGAACAAGAACCTCGATACACTGTTTCCAGAACTTGCCGTACTATCAATAATTAAATTACGCACAAGGCCCCTTGATGTTTTTTCGGTTGCCCAAGGAAGCACAGTGATGTACTCCCACTTGCAAGTGATGTGGGCATTGCTGGCAGACGTTGATATTGAGAGCGAAAAGTATCGATGGATGGGTGTTGATCGTTTGGCTGTCGCTGCACTAATACGACTGATGCGCTTGCGCGAGTACGATGGAGATGTGTGGTACTTGCCAGCGGGTGACGAAGATTCATCAGCACCAGTACCCCGATCGGACGCAGCTGACAATGATGAGAGCGATGTGCTCACCTCGATAGCACCTACGGGAGGACCATCACATCACGGTCCGCCTCTGCGATTAACGGCTGATCCAACCGCGCACCACTCATGGCAACGGATACCGTCGTCCCTGTTCACCATGTTCATCGCCACGAATCTCCCGTGGATATCCAGCGACTTTCTCACTGCGCCCAAGTCGCGCTTAAATGACGGATGCATTTACATGATATGGACCCATTCCATGTCTACAGTTCAGGGGCTGAAGGCGGTCGTAGACCAATCTCGCGCAGCATACCTCACGTTCCCGTACGTGAACATCAAAAAAGTCAAAGGATATGTCCTTGAGCCGCGCGGGTGGAAGCTACGCGGTAGCAACCGTGCACCGTCTCACCTGACGGGGATTATGGACGTAAGTGGGGAAAGCGTGCCGTACCTTCCTGTGCGCGTTGAGGTTCATCCAGGTATGATGAATGTATTAGCGCCAGAATGGCTAGACGAAGATGAATGGGAAAGAGTAGCGGTGTAATGAAGTTTGACATTCATAAGTAGACGCCCGACAGGTGCGCTGACTTGCGCTGGCCGTTAGGTCCTCATCTCTGTTAATCAATACGAACAAAGTACCACACATAGGTCCACAACACTATGCGAAATTCTTATCTATTTTGTCGTTCCCACTCCTCGACCGCAAACCCGGTCGCCACTACAAGGTCCAACATGTAATGCGCTCCTGGTAAAATTTCCAAGCGTCCCTCCTTAGCCCACGCCCGTTTGGTCCGGTGATAGTATGCAAGAATGTGTTTAGTAGGGTAGACAATCAGTTTCAAATCCCCGCCAATGCCGCCGCTGCCTTTCCATGCGTATTCCTTGCCATCAAACCCTCGGAATCGGAACGCGCGTTTGCCAATCCCGAGCTTATCAGTGCGAACGAGTTTGGTCGAGAGTGCAGGGCGAGACGGATCCTGAATGGTAAAATCCCACCCAAGTGCGGCCTTGGTAATCAGAAACACGGTGGGGCCATGGGAAGAGCTGCGACGCATGTTGACATGCCAAGACCCAAGAAACGAGCGGGGATACTAGGAATCCAGCTGTGAGTATACGACATGCATTAAAGGCACACATATGAAGGCGCGGAAAGCATACATCAATATGATAAGCGCAAGTCTTCTTATCAGCTGTCATAATCCTGCAATCCCGGGAGACCCAGCCTTCGCGGTATATATGGAACTATTAACATAATGGGTGCTGATCAGTTCCTGAATGGCAATCATCGGGCAGTGCAGCCCAAATCTCAAATTACGTACGTTAACACTGTCCTGACTTGGCAATGTAATCGTCTGATCACCAATTGTGACGGTCGCTGGTCCAACATTCACTTGCGGATCAGTATACTGGTTGCCGTGATTGTACAGTACAGTCGACGTCTGCATTTGAACGCGTGGTTCCACCGTCTGCGGCTGCGGTTGAACAGGTGGTGCTGCCGGTATCTCAAGAACTGGTGCGTTGGGTGACGGATAATCGGCCCTGCCATTGTTCAGACTTGGATTCATCACACGGTCGGGGCTAAACGTCTCTGACCCAAACCCTTGTCCGTAGACAACCCCTTGATTCAAAGACGGGTTCTGCCCCTGTCCACCTCCATTCCGTTCCGCGCTTGGTGGAACCCATTCTCCAGCGTCAGGATAGATGCCTGCATTCCCAGACAAACTGTACGCAGGACCTTGGTTTTGTTCAAAAGACTGGTAACGGGTCTTGTGATCGGTCGGTACGGCGGGGTAGGAGGAGCCTGCCGGGTAACTCGGAAGACCCGCCTGATCTTGCAGCTGACTTTGATGCTGATTCTGGTTTTGCATGATGAAAGTAATGAGTATGCTAGAAAGATATTGAGTGACCGCCTACTGGACCACTGACCCTTTTATATATGGATGGATGCCTCCATCACTGCCTCCACCCGCCGCCTTTCTCGCACTGACCGGAATAGTGTATGACCTCATTATTGTGGGGCAGCGTCCCAAATTCCACAATAAGGAACAAGAAAGCGGCTTTAAACTCTACACCCTTAGTTTACGGGGCATTGTCCGTGAATGGTTTGGTTCCCAAAAAACGCGCTGGTGACGATCTGGAAGCCGTTGATGGGCTAAAGTAAGTTTCACGAGCCAGCTCGACTCCTAACAATCATCAAAGCTCAACAAAGGGCTGCAAATCGTCGGTCCAACGTCCAGTGCGCGAGTACAGTATTGATTTTTACTACCAGCCTTGCTTGCAAGCGTTCAAGTTCGGGAAGGTCCAGCGGAGTTCACGTTTGTTATCCATAACTGGGTCCCTTATTGATACACATCCGGGACGTTTTGACGACGAAGGAGACGATCAAGTCGAACAGTAATAACTAGTATCCTGTGGATATACTTGGTTTTTGAATATGTTCATGTGCACCGACAAGATCCACTTGAACAAGTCCGTGAACGACCATTTTACTAACAAAGCGTGCGTTGATGACGGAGTCACGTCCCATCAGAGCGAGCGGTAGCAATCGCGAGGGTATGGTACCGTATAATATATCAATCGCTTAGAATGGAATGCATGTACACTAGCCTGGCCAAGGTCACCAGTGCGACGAGGAACTGAATTTGAAGAGAAAGTACCAGCCAAATTCAACAACGGAAGGGTTTGCAGAGCCCAAGTCATATTCATCTCTCCAATTCCGTCAACAACTTTATGACACAACGAAAATACAGAGGTCTGGGCGACCTTCACGTAGATCTCCCTTTAGAGACGGAATAGCAATACTGTGGGATCATTAGCTCGCGTTAAGATCAAGCACTTGATGGGCTTGCGACAGTTCTCCGAAGGTAGTCCTTTTATTGTTGGCAGCTTAAAACAAACAGGGCGGATGGCCGAGTTGGTCTAAGGCGACAGACTTAAGTTCTGTTCTTCTCACGAAGGCGTGGGTTCGAACCCCACTCCGCCCACTTTTTTCCTTCGCGCCTTGAACTCGGTTCAACGCAATTCAGGTTCAGGAGAGTATCCCGACCACGACACATGCATATGTATATCCACTATGTATGGTCTGCAGGGCAGGACTCGGGGGTGCGGGATGCTTGATGGTACAGTGAAAGGATACTTTGCTATCAACATTGTTTTCCAAGATGCAAGGGATACCCGAGAGAGAAGGCGTGAAGAGCAACGTATCTCGCCTAAGCTTTTCTTCACTGAATATACGTACAAACCAGTAAATGGTAACAGGGCACATAGCGTTCCGCTCGCCTAATTTCAATCTATCCGTACTTTTACTTCGCTGCATTGTGCTCTTCTCGTTTATACAGCCTTCTAGTTTCTCCGCGTGAACGTGCGATTAAATATACGAATCGACCTACGATTAAGGTCATAAATGTTCTCAGCAGTGATCTTAAAAGGTAAACTCCGTACAAAGAGGAATCGGTGTACTTTGGGTGGCAAGGGCACTGTGGTGCAGCGATTGTAAACGGACACGAAACCTTAATAGGCAAGAAAGAACCTATATGGTTGGCGCGGCCTTTTGCTGCCATAGCCATCTTGAAGAAGTTTTCTGGAGCCCATCTTGGTTCTATAGGCACGGAAAACGGCTGTGTATACTTCTTGTGTAGGTCGTCGTTCAAATTCAATTTGGAGCGAGGTTCCAAAGTCTCATATCCGCACAGATTTATTCTTGCTTGCTGCATTGCACACACTTGCCGTCCCAACTTTTTATACCTTTAATCAACTATATTATAAAAATGGCAACTCCAGCACCCATCACACCAAACCAACTTCAACAAGAAATGGACGCCTTCCAAAAGATCCAGAAAGGTGAACGAATTCCACGTCGACCCTCCTTCGGGATCTTACTCACAGCATCCATCTCGCAGAATTCGCACTCATAGTTCAAAATCGCACACAACTAGAGTCTCAACTACAAGAGAATGAGATGGTCCAAAAAGTACCGTATGAACGTCCCACTGCACACTATCAATGTGCGATGCTAAATCCTGTTTATTGCGATCTCAGGAACTTGACCTCATGAAACCCGACGCACAAGTGTATAAACTCATTGGCCCCGTATTGGTGAAGCAGGAACCCGTTGAGGCGCAAACGAATGTAAAGAAGCGTATCGAGTTTATCTCAGCTGAAATGTGAGTGGGTTCGCCGACTTGTTGCCTACACAACTTTGAGCTCATGTAATGGCGATGCGTAGTAAACGGTTAGAGGGCCAAATAAAAGAATTGGATCAAAAGCAGGAAGCTAAAAAAGCGCAGGTATGTAATGTATCAGAGGTTTAACGCACATGTTCGCGGGATCTGCCGTTAATACTCTTGCCCTCTGTCAGTTGATTCAGATGCAGCAGGCGTACCAGCAGCAAGTGCAGGCGAGTGCATAGGGGGCCTCAGGTTGGAGTTGTAGATGTGGCTGTGATACACTGTACAGAATAATGGGAATATGTGATGAGGTGTCATAGCTTGGATCTACCATTGTTGAATTGTGCGCTTAGGTCCCGGATTCCTGCGCCCGCGCCTTTTGGACTTATCTGTACTGGAATTTCTTCGTGTCATCGGTATTGATTGCATTAGATCGACGGAAAGTAGGATGTGGCTCCCGTAAAGGTGGAGCCTGTACAGTTGTGGTCTTCGTCCGCCGCTTTTGTGCTCAACATATTGTGCTAATGGTTCAATATGAACACACACGTTGAACGCCTCACCTCTAAAAAGGCTACAGTTTACGCTGTCAAGCGGTAAAACTAGCAGTTCGTTCAGTCCGATTCATCCGTTATTGCGCCCCAGCTTCCTACGCATTTATTTGAGCTTGAGGAAGATCACAACAAAGAGCGCTAAATAGAATTGCATACACTTGTTTATATACATGACAATGATGCTAGACGAAAATCTACAGGAGGACCTTGACATTATTAGTTACCACGGCTTCCCATAAACTGAGAATATCTAGGCCCTCGTCGACGAACCACGCGTCATACAAGCGTAGCGTCCTTCGGAGGGCAGATTTTTCGGCTGAAAGCCCTGAGGCAAGGGTATAGACGCGGTTCAAGTGGGGCAAATGCTTGACAGCGGGAACGGTAACATTGTGCTCTGTGTCCTTCTCGAGGAGGCTTGCCTCAGGTACAGTCGAGCTGATCTCCGCCGGGGTAGCACAAACACTTGCAACTGTCAAGTTTACATCGCCCGCGACTCCGCCTGCCGAAGGCCCATCGGCTGCGGGTGCTGCGCGCGTCGGGTTCTCGTCGTCTTCGATGTCAGTTAAGTCATCCCCCGCAGCAAACGCTTTGATAAGCGTTGCGCCAATTCTCTTGCAATCAACCAAACTCAGCCTTCTCAAACGAGGAACTCCTGCTCGTAATGCAGTCAACGACGGGCCACCAATATCGAGACCATTCAAGCATAAGCTTCTGACACTTTTCCACGCTCCCCGCTTGCAAATCGCGGCGATACTATCATCAACAATTTCTTGCTGTCCGTAAAGGTTGAGGACTTCCACATTTTCCATGAAAGGTGCCAGACACATCAAAAACTCATTATCGAAACCACCGATCGAGCATTCCGGATGCTTGTGAAGATCCAACGTCTTCACAGGGTTGCTCACCAGTACTTGTCCAAGAGCGTGAGGAGTCATTTCTTTACATCGCGTTAGTGCTAACGTGTTCAGGGTCCTCATGTTGCAAGCAATTGCGTTGAGTGTTCTGTCAGTGAGCTCAGAAGATACCGACACGATCCCGTCGCAACCGTCATCTTCAAAAACCAAACGCAGCATGCGTAAGTTAACCGCCTCACGAGCAACGGCTTCAAATAACATGTCAGAGACATCGCAGTCTACAAGGCGAAGAGTTTGCAACGAGTGGTGCGTCACCAACTTGAGCTGAGCGCTTAATGGCCCTACCACTCCAGCCAAACCTAGAAACTGAAGGTTTGGGCATCCGTTCCAAATAGTGGAGAAAATATCCATGGACACATCCAAACAATAGTCTAGAGTTACGGCCTTCAACCACGGGCAGCTGAGAACCAGCGATGACACGCTCTCGTTGGGTCCCACAGGAACGCCATCCAAACGCAGGAACTCCAGCTTGTCCAGAACTCCAAAGACCTCTCGCATGTCCTCAGAGCTTTCAAAGGCATCAATCTCTCCCACAGCTTCAATGTTTAAATTTCGGAGATTGCCACCATGTGTCCGAAGAATACGCAGCAAATCTGGCCAGATGGGTAAGTCCACATCTTCAATTTGCAGACTCCAGAGTTTGGGTATAAGGCATTCCAGTGCAGTCAGCACGCGCGCCTCCAAGGGAGTGCCGGTAGGTCCACATGCCAGATGTTGGAAGGTGAGGCTAATTACGTATTGAACAACTCAGCCTCGCTGAACATAGGAAGCAAGCAAAGCCTTGCTTACCTCTGAAGATTTGAAAATAATTTGCTAACATGCTGAAGCAAGATCACCTTTGGCTCGCTACTTGATACAACCAGCTTCTTGACCATAGTGGCTAATCCAGTGTCCTCCTGAACCCAAGGCATATCCGTGCGCTCTTTTTGTGCTGTATCAACGACCATTTCATCTGAACTTGTTTGAATGCTATCGGTAGTTTGCACGAGTCGCGACCCATCGTCTTTGGCTTGGTTGCTCGGTGCTTCCAGCGACAAAATATCTTTTGCTGGAAGAGCGGGTACAGTCGCGGAATTTCGGGAAGCGCTTCCTACGACCTCGCCGAAGCGCTTACTAATTAGACCACCGACGGTACTCCATCCCTCCGAACCACCCAAACTTTTCAGTGTGAGGCTAGGTGTTTTAATCGGTGTAGGTTTTCGAGTGCCACTGAATGCTACTCCGCGTACAAACTTTCGCACGCGCCAAGCTGAATCCAGGGCTACACATCTCCAGAGCGACTCTTGCGCTGGCGGTGACCAATGACGAGACACCAGACAGCACGAGTACAGATCTTCAGTGTCGTCCCTATCAATGTAGTCAAATATGGTGAGTAGTAGCTCGTGTGGAAAGCGCGAAGCCAAAGAAGGCTTTGTATTCAGTATGGCCATTCGGTCGTGATCTGATCTTGTTCGTGTGCGTATTTGCCGTGAACGGGCATTTATATTCCCGGGACGAGCAAGAACCAGCGCCTTCGATTGAACGTTGGGTTCCTCTTCCATGGGCTGAATCTCTTCATCAACCACGCCGGCCATTAGTGCTATCGGGTCGGCAGGGGGTAAAGATTCACCGTCCAGATACAGGCCACTTCGGTTAACATCGCTTGGTGGCCCCTCGAGAACCATGGTTTCTTCGGTGGACGATGCGGTGATTGTGGAGAGTACATCAACGGCAAGCTCCTGCACGAGATTTCAAAACGTGAACACCACGATATGCCAACTATTGCCAGTGATCAATGTCAACGCATACCTGAGCTGCAATGGCATCCTGGACCTCAAATGAGCGTTTGTCAACTGGAACTAGGGACAGACGTTCAAGTCCAAATCGCAGGATGTCAGTTATGAAACTGGTCAGCTGCTTGTCAGGCATGATGGCCCTTTCACGCCAAAAAGCTCCTCTGCGTCTCTCCTGCTGCCCTCTATCAGTGTTCCAGGTTGTTTTGCGGTATACAGGTTCACAGCTTCTCTGCGTAGGTATCGGAAACAATGAGTTCCAATACTTGCCGACTGTGCAATACGGACCAATGACTTTGGTTGGCGGAAAGCAGAAAAGAACAGCAAAAGCGGAGGTATTATCTATGTTGTCTCGAAGGTCAAAGGTGTAGCAGGTCCTGTACTCTTCTCCGTGTTGTGTGCAGTTCTCATCGCGGTCTTTTTGGCGAGCCAATTGTTCAATGCAGATGCAACGGCCACCTACATGAAAACATGGAGAGCTTATAAGAGTGTAGTTACGGCGGAGGAAATGTTTACAGCGGGGAGAAATGATCGTATTCTATTAGTCTATGTTGGTACAGAAGTTTGCCAGAAATGGCTTC